AATTTTACCAAGAAAACCAGTGCAAGTGCCTGCTTGCGCCAGAGAGCTGGAAAGCTCAACCAACAAGTCGCTACAACTGCTCTATGAATGAAGGAATATATAAAAAAAGATGGATGTAAATATTCTTTATTAACCATCTAGTACAAATACATTAAAAGTTTGAAGTTTTCAAAAAGGTCTGACGCTAGGTCCTAGAATAATATTATTAGTATATTTATGGATAGTATTAAGTACAGTATAGTTTAGTTCTAACTAAACTAATGTAAAAAACGAATACGGTACAGTGTTAATTTATTTCGGTGTCTACAGCTACATTTCGTTTGAGTTATTCTACAAATCTTGTATTTAAAGAAATTCTGTTGCAATAACGATACTAATTTGACAGCAAACGTTTTGCAGGTCTCTGCTAGTGTAATAATAATAATACTTCAATGTCTATATTTTTACATGAGGCCACTAATGTGTGTAAAATATTTTCAAAATTTTGCTTTTTATTTCATTAGCAAACTAGATTACTTTCCAAGTTTCGATGCATTAGTCCTCAGAAGCCCGGGGGCATCAAATACGGTATATTTTATTGCATTAAAAAGAACCAATGGATGAAATAGTTTGAAATTTCACATGAGCTTTCTAGATTATGTTGCTTCTGCAAATAAAATTTACTTGTACATGTGATATTTTTAAAAATTTGCAGCTTTGAAAACTCGAAAGTATTTCATCACGATATTTTTTTAAAGACACAATTAGAAATTCTTACATTTTTTGTAGACTTTATTTACAAACTTTTATTTTTTCCTACAAATATTTTAACACTTTTCTATAAACATTTTATTGTATACAACCATAAATGTATTTTTTTTCTACCATACCAAAATTACAAGCCGTCTTTTTTACATTTGAGATTTCATTTAATATAGTCCCCTGGTGGGACAGCGGTAAGTTTACGGACTTACAATGCTAAAACCCAGTGTTCGATTCTCCATGGTGGACCCAGCAACTAGTCGAAGTGGCTTTGCTCTAAAATAAACAAACCATTTAATATACGTAATAAGTTTGAACACTTTTTATAACGAAGCGCGCGATGAGGTAGTTGGTCTTATAGACAGTGACTTGGACTTCTTGGCCCCAGTGATCTGCGCTATCTTGGATTTCCGTTCGTTGCGGTTTCAAAATTGCCGAGGTATTATGAAAAGTTTCATTTCCAAATTCACCACGTTTAATTCGTATATCTTACAGTGATTTAGTTCAAAACACCAAACAAAATAATCGAAATTCATTTTCTAAAAAGAAAGTCGAAAC